TTTCAATGCAGTGACACTGGCGTGGTGGTGGTGTGTTAGTGTGTGTTACGAGTGGATCAGACACAGCAGTGCTGCTGGGGTTTTTACACACACTGTCCACTCACTGTCCACTCTATTAGACACTCCTACCTTGTTAGTCCACCTTGTAGATGTAAAGTCAGAGACGATAGCTCATCTGCTGCTGCACAGTTTGTGTTGGTCATCCTCTAGTCCTTCATCAGTGGTCACAGGATGCTGCCCACATGACGCTGTTAGCTGGATATTTTTGGTTCTGAACTTACTTAACACATTTCTGCCTGTTCTAGCCGACTATAATACACGTCTTTGAAATATAGTCTTCAAAATGCTTTAAAAATGTTTTTGTTTTTACATAAATGTTTGAATTCATTTAAGAGCTTACACTTACTTCCTGAGTCATCTATTAGAGGTTTATATGTATGTTTATATATATATATATATATATATATATATATATATATATATATATAAATATGTGTGTGTACGCATATCACTATTGTCAGAAGAAAACCTCGTATCCCCAAAATGGTAACTTGGTAACTACAGGAGAAGGAAAAAACCTACTTTACTTCTAATGTAAATCAATGGAACCAGACTTATTTCCAAGACTTTTTTGGGCCTTTTCTTTTGGTCCATTCATAATGAAATTTTACACAATGTAAAGGGCAACAGGCATTTTCAAATTATGTACAAAACTGAAAAACAGCAAAAAAAAAAAAAGTGGAGATACGATGTTTTATTCCGACAACAGCAATATACATATATATATATATATATATATATATATATATATATATATATATATATATATCTATGCATATATATATATATATATATATATATATATATATACACGCACACATATATATATATATATATTTTTTTTTTTGCATATACTCTACAACACTCAGTCCACCCTGTTTCCTGAACACATTCATTTCTATTAATATCTGGAATATTCCACAACTCACATGTTCAGAAAGTTGCATTATGTTCACACTGTGACATTGACCGGTTGGATCACTTTGAAAGTTCAACACTGTTAACCACATCATAGATTCAAAGTAAATTATTAATTGTAAAAAATAAAATTCATCATTAAAATGGCCTTTTTGTTCTATCTGAAAAGATGCTAGTTAACCACATTTTAAGTATTCGCTAATTCTATGCTAAAAACCAAACCCTGTTACTTTTTCAACATGTAATTCATTTAAGCTGTTAGTTAGCAAGGAAACCTAATTGTTTCTGAGATGAGAGATTATTTTGAGTCAATGTTAAAAAAAAATAATTTAATCTTTAATAATTGGCACCACAGTCGTGGAATCACTCGTCAAATCACCCAGTGTTTCTTCTGTAATGAAGGGTATTAACAGGGAGTTGGTCCCCCTTTGCTGCAGTAACAGCCTCTACTTGCCCAGGAAGGCCTTACACTAGATGTTGGAACATTGCTGTGAGGATTTGATTGAGCATTAGTGAGGTCAGGTACTGATGTTGGATGGTCAGTTCTGAATCACTCCAGCTCATCCCAAAGGTATTAGATGGAGCTCCATCACTGCAGAGAACACAGCTCAACTGCTCAATCCAGTGCTGGGGGGCTTTATACCCCTCCTGCTGACACTTGCATTTAGCAGAGTATGTTGCTGATTTATTTAAAGAGTGCATTTTTTGCTGTTATACACTCTTAAAAAGATGTTAACTCAAAGGTTCTTTAGTAAAGAAATGGTTCTATGTAGAACCATGAACAAAGGGTTCTTCAAATTGATGGACAGTGTGCATGAATGTGCTATAGACGGTTCTATGCAGAATTGTTTTTGACAAGTTCTATATAGCACGCAAAAGGGTTTTTCTACTGTTACAAGCTTGACACCAAAGTAATAGAAGAACCCTTTTGGGTGCTGTATAGAACCATTTTTCAAAAAGGTTCTAGAGAACCATCTACAGCACATTCTCCATCAGTCTGAAGAACGTTTCATCTTTCATAATGCAAAGAACCCTTTAAACATGCAAAGGGTTCTTTGAGTGTTCATGGTTCTATACAGAACCATTTTCTTTACTAAAGAACTCTGCAGAACCATCTTTTTTAAAAGTGTGGAGGAATTTTGTGGAAAACAATGTAAAGGATGAATGATGACAATAACATAACATCACAATACTTGAAGATAATTTCACGGTACATGATATGCATCATGATATTTTGTTTTGATTGGTTAGAACAGACAGAAAAATCAGTGCTGAAACAATTTTTGCTATTTTATCATCAGCAGCATTACATAAAAACCTCAAAGAAAAGCTAACACATCCACTACAGAGAACACAGTTCTGCGCAATTTAATACACAATTGCTGAATTCAACAAATTGGGGGAAAAAGATATAAAATGTGGATTGTGCAAAAGTCACATTTTATATTTGATGGTTTTATTTAAACAAAATAAAAAAAAATAAAAATAGAACTAGTGAACTAAAATGTGCAGACAAATGCCTTATTTAAATGTTCCCTGTAGATGATGTGTTAGCTTATCTTCACTTAGAAAATAAAGAAAATAATGATTTGACCAGAGGGTGTTCAAACTTTTGCATACGACTGTATATGCATGATGTTTTGGGGGAAAATTTCCAATTAGTTTACATTACCATCAACATTACATATAAAGCTCAGAAGACACGTGTAGGTTCACTGATGGATAGAGAATAAAATGGCTATATCTGTGTTGTAGTCATGGCGACCCCTGGTTCCTATCACCACCACTGTAAAGAAATCTGAGTCTCTACAATCAACCATTTCACACCAAACCACTCTGAATGACCCTGAATTCACCTTTAAAGAAATGCTGTGGAGATACTTTATCTACACTGATCAGGCATAACATTATGACCACCTCCTTGTTTCTACGCTCATTGTCCATTTTATCAGCTCCACTTACTATATAGGTAAACTTTGTAGTTCTACAGTTACAGACTGTAGTCCATCTGTTTCTCTGCATACTTTGTTTGCCCCCTTTTACCCTGTTCTTCAGTGGTCAGGACCCCTATGGACTCTCACATTAGCCTATTGAGGTGCAGCATGTTGTTATACACCCATTAGGTTTCATTTTCTGAAGCAATGTCCATAATGATTTCTGATATCTATAATAATAATTACAGCAAACCCAATGTCAAATGGACACAGTTGAGTGTTTTTATTTGATTGCTTGTCAACAATGCAAATAGATATTCTGTAATATATTCAAAATCCTTTCCGTAATGTGTTCTTCTGTTTGTGTGGGGTAACTTTGCTTAGCAACAACCTTTTCCTTCAGTCTTAGAACAGGACCTCTTTTATTGTCATGAAATCACATAGAATAGCTTTAAGATTTGGACATAATGAACACAACACTTTACTTTCAGAGATAACTAGATAAAAAAAAAACATATTGTGAGAATAATTTGATTTAGATTTTCCTTCACATATAAAATCTACTACCTTGCCTAAAACTGTATTGGATACAAAGTTTAAATCAAAGGTACTACATGCTAGTTGCAGTCTACGTTACTGCTGGTAACCTGGTTGTCCTCCTATCTTCCTGCAATTGTGTTTTGTCAGCTTTTTTGAGGGAAATGAAATCAAGTGTACCTTTAGTTTCTCTGAAAACAAGCATAAGGACAAGGAAAAATGAGATTGATCGTCCTAAAGTTTGAAACAGTTCAAAAAACATCTGTCCATATTTGAGAAGAATCCTCTTTTTTTCAGAATTTCTGCATATTTTAATAGTTAAAATGTAAACAAAGGCATTCAGAGTGGTTTGATTTTAAATGCTCAGTTCTAGGAAAGACAGAATCATTCACAGTGGCGGTGATAGGAACCAGACGTCTGAGGAGTTTAATGCCTTAAACAGTAACCTTACAGAAAGCTATTAGATGAAATGGTTATGAAGACACTGCCTGATGCCACATTGTTTTGCAATACTTCTGACATAAGCTTTCTGCAACATATTTCTAAAATCCATTCAGGGTAGAGCGTCGGGCACTGTGAGGCAAAATAATCACCTAAGACATCTTTTAGATTTTCCACGATTTTACCATCATCAACATTCCCTATAAAACTCAGAAGACACGTTACAGATATATTACACTTAAAAAACATGTTAGGGTTACAATTTTTTCATATTTTCAGATAAAATTATATGTTATTTTAACAATAACACCTTCTTAAGCCATCAGTTTAGCAATATAGGTTTTTAAATTAATTATCTAGAATTCCAAGCACCACAGAAGAGCTCGGAAAGGGTGAGGGCCATATTTTGAAGAAAAAATGTTCTTTTTTGCAATTTTAACTACAATAATCAATACATGACTATGGAATATATGAATTAAACGATATAAAGAAAACAAATGCCAAATAAATATTATAAAATATATAAAGAAAATTGTTGTCCCCAGGAGTCGTGTCACTGGTGTTACTCCATAACAAAAATCTCTTATTTTGAAATAAAAATCACACTGATGACATCACTCGACTTCCTTTTACCTGTTTTCTGAGGATCTATGAAGAAAAGCACATGGTGAGTCCACTGTGTCTTTCAGTTATCAGAGATTTTCTCATATAACTCCTGATTTCATATGAAGCTTTTAGCTGAAGTCACTGGTGTGACCGACTTTATTCTGAGGTAACTGTGACAAAATAGAATACAAATGGATCAAATTACATATTTTAGTGGATATTCCATGACTGACAACATGTGGTCTGATGCTCCGTAGCAGCCGTTTTGTAAAATGCATTTTTCATTAAAATGTCTCTGGCGTTACGTTTCATATGTGTAACACCAATGAGGACTGGTAACACCAGTGACACCTATGGAGAGATACAAAAGTGGACGTTTCTGTAGAATGACCCATACCTGTGTTGTAGTCATGGCGACCCCTGGTTCCTATCACCACTACTGTAAAGAAATCTGAGTCATTACGTTTCTCTGCAATGAACCATTTCTCATCAAACCACTCTGAATGACTTTGTTTACATTTTAACGATCGAATTACTAAGAAATTTTGAAAAATGGGTGGAATTCCCCCTGAAGTCCATACTGTAGAGTCCACTTTATTGTCCATCTTTGCATATAAGAATATTCCTGTCCTCTTTTTTAACGTTAATTGATCCTAATCTCTTTATTGTCATCAATCAACATGGAAAAGTGCCGTCCGGTCCCGAGATCTACGCTCGTTTTTCCCAGGGTTGTGATTGGTGAGCTGCTGCCTGTGCTGGACTTGTCCATAGCCACGGTCATGGCAGGAAGCTGAGGTACCCCACCGTTCTGAATGACGGAAATTTCATTGTTCTTCATGGCTAAGCCACTGCTAATGGCTGCAGCGTATCGACTCCAGAAGTTCTGATCCACGTTCATGGCCCTCACTGCCAGGTCCTTCTGAAACACTTCGTTGAATTTTAGAGCCTCGCCTCCCAGAAGAGCCAGCGGGTTTTCCACAGACAGACGCCTGCCTCTGCGCGCAGGAGTGTTATTCCACATGTGGGTGCCCATGTGCACCTGCAGGAGGACAAGAACAGAAGACATAAGACATGGGCAGAACCTCAAATGGTTCCCTGCTCACTTTGTGGATCATTCTACCGAACTGGTTCAGAGTCAGAGTTGAAAACATCGTTTTCTTTTAGACTTTTAGCTGACTTGGACTTTAGACTAAAATCCTTTTGCTTTGAGTGACCCTATACCTTAATTATGCTAATTTTATTATAATAAGTGACTAAACAATCTATTTTGTCACTACTGAAACAATCATAACACTACCAAAACTTTACCATATGTTTCAATAGTGACTGTTTCGGTAGTGACATTTTTAGCAGAACAGAATTTGAACCAGTACATGACCAGCAAACACAGCTTTGAACAACGGAACACACATAAAATCATAATATTTTTAAATAAAACACAAAAAAGTTTACATAACTGCAGAAAATGTGTTTCAATAGTGACAATTCTTTATGTTTCACACTGATTTTCAGACTTTGGGACACATTTGCTTCAAAACGGTGGGATCTACCTGCTCACCATGTGGTCATGAGGGACAGGGATACAGCCTCACTTTCTGCTCTAAAGTGCAGGGGTGTGGCTAAAATAAGGCTCCACCCACAGACTAAAACTCTGTGTTTCGGTAGTGACATGAAAATGTGGGAGAGCATTTTGCTAATTAAAGTTTTTTATTTAAAAGTTAAACCCATGATAGATCTAAGTCTTTAAAGTTAACTTTAAAGGAAATAAATGTAACAAAATATAATTGAAAAACAAAACAAAACAAAAAAAAGTGTTATTTTTACAAGGGTAAAATCAGGGGTTAAGATTTGGAACTGATACCTACCAACAGAAAGCATCCTGTAAATATGTATATATGTATGTATACATTATGCTTGTAATACATAGTCATATATAACATATATTAATAGAAATATATGTTCATTTCACTATCTCAGTGTTTTGCTTTGGGCGCAGACGCCATTATTTCATGACCTACTTCCTGCCTTTATTTCATGATGTAACACACTACATAGGGAGCTGTTTGGGATTCATTCATAATCTTCACAAATATTTGAGGCTAAGGGATGTTTTTACAGTAAAGGACCATGTGCTACATTTCCTTTCTTTCTCCTTTATTTTTTCCTCTTAAGTTCACTTATTATGGTTGTGTTTTATGTACCAAAAACAGTCCTGATTTATTTTGATATGACCATTTTATAACCTCACTTAGCTACCTAATTAGAATATAGAATTTAACAAAATTAGAATTTAACTATTTTTTTGTTAGCGTGTCTTTAAGACTGACGTATGTAATTGAGCTTTCTTGTGATGGGCTGTGCCTCATTCAAAATGTGGTCTGTGCTGAAACACTCTTTATAACATCAACATGAATGGGCGGAGCTAAACTGCTGTAAGCTTAAATTTATATAACTGTGGTTTTTGTGACTTTGGACTGTACGGACTGGTAAGTTTTGAAACGTTGACAATGTTTACACTCTACATCAAGATATTTTGTTTCAGTTTTCCATGATATGGGCCCTTTAATGCACATAACGGTGAGTGATATAAATTATCTGCACACCACAGAGGCACTGGGCAGCTAATCAGAATTAAGGTCATTTACATACATCAGTAACAGGAACAACCTGTTTAATGCTAAGAGTTCAGGATAAATTATAAAATGATCATGTAAAAATAATTTCTGGAAAGTAAATAAAGTTTAAGAAAAACGTAAAATATGGGCCCTTTAAACTAACATAACCAACTGTATTACTCTGTTCACATTCCTTGGAGAACAGTTTGCTTCATTAAGAGTTTTCTGACCTTGAGGTTGCCCTTTGTTGTGAAAGCTCGACCACAAATGGTGCAAGCAAAAGGCTTTTCACCGGTGTGTGTGCGCTCGTGGATCTGCAGGGCGCTCGCTGAAGAGAAGTTCTTCCCGCACACGTTACAGTTGTGTTGTTTGGGGGTTCGTCGAGGTGGTGGGGTTCCAAGCAGCGAAGTGATGCCCGGGATTGTTGCTTCAGACGGGGAAGGTGAAGACTGGATGGATCCAAATGGAGGATAAGGCCCTTCTTTCACAATGTACGGCCTACTCAAGCCTTCCAGCTCCATTTTGACAGAGGTCCGTATGCTGTTAAAATCCAAGTCAGGAGACCGCTGGGTTGCTCCTGAGAAAGCAGAGATGAAGTATATACGGCGTTAAGTATCATATTTCTCAGCAACATTGTCCAAAAACAAAGCAATGGATCTGACTGATGTAAAGAATGATAAATGTTAGCTTTAAAGGGACACTCGGCCAAATTAAGGAATGTAACCATCGTTGCATCTATCGTAAACATGCCTACTTGGTGTAGCCCCTGGAGAGAGACACTTTAACATGTAGGAAAACACCCTTCTGCTGACACATCTTGAAGGAGTGAGGAACCTTTGAAAAACTACTGCTGGGTGTTTTTTTCTTTCGCTTGGGCTGTTTTTGAAACGCATTTTTAATTTTTTTGTTAGGTGGAGAATTCAGAAGGATGCAAGATAACTCGTTGCAGCCATAGGACTGTGGTAACTGTCTTCAGATCATCATTACAATAGAAAGAAGAACAGAAATACCTCATGAGATGACAAAGACAACTAGCTAAAAGCTAACATTAGCAAGGTAGCTGGCTACCTGAACACCTTCCCTCAGTTTGGCTTCTTTACTTTGGCTGAAAAGGTAAATAAACGTGTATCTGTCCATTTTGTTATGAATAAAGAGAAAATTGCTGTTTTCTTTCCGATTTTGTTCAACATCCAAGTAGGAGTTACACTGATGCTAGCTTGGTTCTGTTTTATTAGCCTATAGATCAGTGGCTAGGCTAGCCTTGGCTAGGATTGGTTGACATCACAGAAACAAAAACTAGTTTAAATTGTGAATTCTGTCAAAACAATCAGGCTGAAGGATGTATGTACTAGGGAATTCTGTATAACATGACAAATAGCATGTTAAACTCTAGTTTTAGGCCTGAATGCTGCATAAAGGGTCCTTTTTTCCACGTTAGAATTTGTGTCCAGCTGTTTCTCAAAATAAATATGCACAACTGTACCACACATAGCCACAAAGAAAACACCATCTTACCATGCTCCTTGCTAAAACACTGCAAATTGTAAATGTTCTCTTTCTTGACTGAAGACTTGATCTGATCGAGGACAGCTCCATTCACCCCGTTTGAGGCTGGGGAATCTAACAATTCACATTTAATGGTAGCAGCCTTCTCTTGGTTATGCGAAGTGATGTTCAGCAAAGCTGGATCATCATGATGTCCCTCAGGCTGGCCTTTTGCTGGAGAGAGAGGTCTATGAATGAAGCTGGCTGCCTCTGGCATGAGAGGACTCTGATTCTCAAAGTCTCCTTTGGAAGGTGAGCCATTAGCAGGATGAGTGTTGTCCAAAAGGCCACTCATTGCTGACCTGTGTCCAGTTAAATGGTTGAGACTGACTGTTGACTCACCGACTGACATTTTAAACTCGGTTACAGCAGGAGGTACTGGTGAAAGCGGTGATGAGCTGTCTGAGAAAGAGTTAAGGGGGTTTTCACCGTTTTCTAAAATGTCCCCTTCCTCTTCACATGAAATATCATCAAGGCCATCGTCCTCGTAATTCATGTTGTCAAAACTCTTCTCGTCAAAGGTCAAGTCCATTTCTTTTTCCTGGATAACGTCTGTTGGCAGAGCTGGGAGATTGTTGGGAATCTGGCCACCCATGTGCATGCGAATGTGCTGCTGCAGCACGACAGCATTGGTGAACTTCTTCTGACAAATTGGACAGGAGTGCTGAACCTGAAGAGGAGGTTTTGCACGGTGCACACCAAAGTGAGTCTTCAGGTTCCCCTTTGTGGTGAAGGCACGACCACAAACCTTACATTTGAAGGGCCTCTCTCCAGTGTGGATGCGATAATGCATCTTCAGTGCACTCTGACAGCTGAGAACACGGTGGCAGATCACACACTGATTAGGATCCATCATCTTTTTGTCAATGTTCTCTACAAGCTGTTGGAGCTTTGACGTCTCTGATGTCTGCATGGAGTCTAGAACTCCTCCAAATGGAAACCTGTCTGAAATCAGAGGAGGAGTAGAAGATTTCATCACTGAGGTGACAAAGTCAGTGGAGTCTGGTGTACCCCCTCTTGCAGGTATCCCAGTTGACATTGATTTTAGAGGAGTGTTGGGATTTTCAGTGTTGGACTGATGTAAATTTTCTGCTTGTCTGGTTGTACAATTTGTGGGCAGGTGAAATTCTTCTGGCACAGTCTTTCCTTCCATGCTTGACTGTGGGGTGGGTGCTGTTATCTTAAGTATATCTGGTTCATTGTCAGACTGCGTAAGTGGTTCAGTACCAGTAGCATTCGGAGACAAAGGTGCGCTTTCATTCCTGGCAGATGAGGGCCTTTGAGGAGATCTTCCTGAGAGTGCTTTACTAAAAGAATCACCAAAGTTTTCCACACTTGCAACTGTGGGGGGCAGCTGTAGCCCCACTGTAGCAGGTAACGTTGGTAGAACAGGCTTACTGTCTAACCATGCTGACCCAGGTTTCTCTGGAGGAAAAGACATTCCGTAGGGAATGCCAGAGCTGGTCGGAATATTGTCAAGATACTCTGGCACTGGGTATGGGTTCATCTGAACATGAGGGTATTTATCCTTGTGCCGTTGGAAGTGAACTTTCAGGTTACCCTTGGTGGAGAAACGGTTGCCACATATGTTGCATTTAAAAGGTCTCTCACCTGTGTGAGAACGCAGGTGGATCTGCAAGGCACTGTCACTGCCAAACACCTTGGCACAGAACCTGCATTTGTGCTTGAAGAAAGGGTCATCAGAGCTGGGCTTGGTGTCAAATATAGAGACACTGGGCATTTTAGCCTTGCGATGCTTCATCATAGCAGCAAGTGGGTCTAGTGCATTGGTAGTAGCTGCAATGCTGGCAAGTGGGTTGGGGAAGATTACTCCACTAGGAGGGCTTTGAGGTAGCAATGGAAGGTTGGCAGAGGGATTGAGGACACTGCTCTGGCATACTGAGAGTGGGCCAGAAGAGTTCAGAGGTTGGGTGTGGCCAGAACTGGAGAGAGCACCATTACAGGAGGGCAACAGCGAAGATGCCCCAGTATAGGTTGACAGCGGAGGATTTGGGTTTGCTAAGGAAGCAGAGGTACTGTCAGTTCCTTTAGGATTAGGTTGTTCATCAAGTGGCTGTGAAGACAGAAATGGTGGACTCTCAAGTATGGATGTCTGGGTTACAGCTGCCTGACCATTCACAGCGGAAGGCATGACTCCGGACAAAGGAAGTACAGGAGGAGGGGGCATTCCCTGAAAAGGGTAAGTGGAAGAGACAGAGGGTAGACCTTTGGAGGCTGGGTTTAGTGCAGCTTGTGTAGGTTGCCTATTCATTACAGCAACCTGATTGCGAATCTGTTCGATTAGTTGCAACTGGTGGACCTGCTGCCTCTGTAACGCCATTAGCTGTTCCAGAATCATGGGTATTGCCACTGAGCTCACCTTCCCTCCAGCTCCATCACCTGGGATGTTCTGAGAAAACTGGGCAACAGCCACCCTGGTGCTATGGAGGATCTCCAAGGTCACATTTGTGCTGGGAATGTCATAGTTGCCGCTTAAAGAGGATAAAGATGATGGAAGGGTAGTGCTCTCACTGGGATCTGGTTGAAGAGGGCTAGGATTTGTTGATTTATCCACAAGTTCATTGGTGTCCATGGGCTCGTCCGCTCCTGCTACATCAGGAACACTGAGGGTTTCCTGTCCCTTCTCGGACGATTCTAGTTCCTGATCCATGTTCTCCATTTCAGCAGGGTCACTTACAATGGATTCCAGAGGTGATCCCTGAGGAACAAGGAATCCTTCGTCCTCCTTCACAATCAGCACAGGGGGCTCCTCTGTACACTTTCTCTGGTGCTCCAGCAACTCTGACCACTTGAAGAATTCAGCACAGCACTTCTCACAGACGTGGGTCTCCTCACTCCCGCTGCTGCCACTGTCCTCATCACCACCTCCTTTCAAGAGCACTGTCAGGAAGAATCACAGAGAGACAGGAGCATGAATGGATATTCTTGAGGCGATAGATTCCTTACAGCTTTCCTTTTTGAGTGAGTAGTAAAGGTGAACCTAGTCAATTGTGCCACTTTACCAATTACAGAGTATTTCACTCTGTGTTGTCATGCACCTGAGACCCAGCTGATAACTTTCTTTGCACAATCCATCAAATTACATAACCTATTTATTGCAGATCCTAAAGCTTAATGAAATTCCATAGGACCTATTGATTTCCAATGTTGTCATACAGTTCGATGCTGCAGTGTTAGTCCAGAGCAAATTGAGTCTTTGATTGACTAATCACAATTCTCCATTGTCATCAAACACTCTCATTTCCTGGAGAATTTGTACTAATTGTCTGCTTTCTGACATCGCTGAACGCTGTATGCACTTCTTGGTGCTTGAATTGCTTAACCTTGGCTGTATGTTTTTAGCTTTAGCTTTATTTTTTAACATATAGAGTGTCTTGAAATACCTTAGACTGACAAGTCATAAAGACCCACAGAGAAAAAAACAAGTCATGTTTGGTAAAGTGTGACAAAACTTCAACAATGTGTAATTACACAGCTACATTGATGCATACGTAATGACAGTTAGACTGCTGACATAAAAAGGAAATAAGAAAGGTTGATTCAAAATTTTAACCTTGTTTGTAAAGTCTGAATAAGTAACAAATTAAATTGTAAAATGATTGAATAAAACATGAACTGAATCTATGAATATCCCCAAATGCCACGGTCATGATTACATTATTATTATGATTAAAAATGATATAATGTAATATCTAATACATCTCATAAACAAATCTGTATATATTTAAATTGATGTAAGCAAATTATTATGAATAATAAAAAAATAACCACAAAAAAAACCAAAACAAACATCACCCAAAAACAGCTCACGCTCAGAAAACAGGATCAGCTATTTTAGATTTTTTTTTATAAATGTGTAATACAATAATGTAATAGTCTAATACCATCTGAGAAAATATGTAGACTTTTATCTGGACAGTAAACATGTATCTGTTAAACAAACAAACATAAAACACTAACATTAGAATAAACACAACTAAACAATTTTTGGACACTGGGAAGGGTTGTAACATGGGGTAAATTGTAACAGCCTCAGTTCCACCAATCAGCAACAAGCTACAGAGACTGTATCACTACTGTGTACATCTGTGCCAGCCCCCCATCCACCCCCATTTCTCACCAGAGATTTTTAAAAACTTTAAATGAAAAAAATGAAAAAAAAAAGTAAAATTTTGGCATCAGACAGTAACATTTCACATCTGGATAGTTAGCATTCAACTTAATGCATATGAATTTCATATCACTGATGGTTGCTAACTGATGCACCATTGGTTAAATTGCATGTTATGCCCACATACTACTGCATTTGACAGACAATCCTATCCAGAATGACTTACAATTTGATAATTTTTTACACAGGTAGGCGAAGGTAGTGTTAGCAATCTCGCCCAAGGACTTATTGGTATAGTGTAGAATGCTTGCCTGGGCTGGGCATTGAACTCCTGTCTACAGTGTAGAAGGCAGAGGTGTTACCCACTACACTACACCAACCACTAAGTGTGAATATATCAAAACATCCTCCACAGAGAACAAACATAAACATGACATTTTTCTGCAAGTTTTAGTTCACAATGTCTATTTATTTGCCGAGTTTAACATAATTAAAAAAAGTAACATAAAATATTAAATGTGCCATAACTTTTGCACAGGCTACATTTATGTTTATTTTAATAAACAGTAACTATTTCTTTACTTTCTTTTTCATAAAGCAAGCCATTTGACTAGGGTGCCAAAACTTTTGCATACAATTGTGTGCTCTTAATTAACAATTTCTCTGGCTTAATATGATGTGTAAAATGAATGCATAAAAACACGGTGGCTTGTCATACAGCATAATATAGGAACACCAAAGAACAACAGACCTCACAATTCCTACCTCAACCCACTCAAATAAACTTTAATGGTCAGTAAAAATCTGACTGCTTTCTTCTCTCTTATACCAACAGAGACACAGTGTGATGTGTTTAAAATGTTTGGGTTTAATCTAATAGGTTTAATATCAGTGTTTTCATGTTTCCTGCTTTAATGTCAAAGGGCCCATCTCACGGAAAATCAGTCTCAATTTTTGAAATAAAAGTTTGATGTAGCAATTACACAATGTTAAAGTTTCCAAACATACGTCCACACACAGAAACTAAGCATCCTGTTTTGAATTCATTGCTGTTGTGATGTCATGAGAACATTTGCATGCATCTGCTTATTCAGCCTACCGCAGTTTAGCCCCGCCCACCGGCACTGAAGTTATAAAGAGTGTTTCAGCCAGGACTGCTTTTTGAATGAGGCAGAGCCAATCAGAGATCATTTACATATATCAGTCTTAAAGGCACAGTAATAAAAACAGCCAGATGAATTCTAAAGGATAAAGAAAGGGTGAAAAAATGGATTATGATTGTTATTGACACCCAAAAATATTATATATATATATATATATATATATATATATATATATATGTTATATATACGTATATATGTTATATATACGTATATATATATATATATATATATATATACACATATATGTTATATATACGTATATATATATATATATATATATATATATATATATATATATATATATATATATACAAATACAAATAGTTGTTACAACCTGTCTCATTATATATATACATATATATAGTGAAACAGGTTGTAACAACTATTTGTATTTGATCCAAACTTGCTTGTTTTGTGAGCATGCAGTACCTTCTCAAAAAACATGGTTCTTCAAGGGTTCTTTGGTAAACACAATGGTTCTATATAGAGCCACGAACACTCAAAGGATCATTTGCTTCAGTGTTTCTTTGCATGGTGAAATGTTTCTTCAGATTAATGGAGAACGTGTTGTTTATGCTTCAGTATAGAACCTTTGGAAAATGGTTCTATGTAGCACCACAAAGTTCTACTCCTGTTATGATGTCAAGCTTGTAGCAATAGAAGAAGCCTTTTTTGTGCTACATAGAACCATTGGGCCTTTTTAACCAAGCGTTCTTAAGAAGAAATTTCTTTTTAAAACCCACGTACGCAGTTTTCTCTAAGATTCTGACATTCACTGTGTTTACTTATTCGGGATTTGGTTTTAGGTAAGAACAGAATCTACACACACTCAAGAGCACAAAGGAGAGAACAGTTCTGTGGTTTAAGAACATGTCATGAATTTGATGTAGAGGTTTTTTTTAGGATCTTTCCCAAGAACATATTTAAGAAAAACCTTGGGGAGATATTAGTGAACGAGGCCCATTGTCTTTTCTAAAGAACCCTTGAAGACCCTTGATTGTTATTTATATAAATTTCTTGTTACCTTTTATAAAACTTTGAAATGTAAAGCACTGAGTTACAGAGACAAACAACTGATTTCCGAACAATAGCACCTTTAATTTATGTTTATTTATGTTCTTTTCAATGTTATGAGATATTATATATAATATAATGTTACTCACTTCCCAGATAAGCAGTTTTGACATGCACTGTACACAGATAATTAATGTGAATATGTAATTTGTGATAATTACACCAGCCCACATTGGACTTAGCAGCTCATCTAATTACGTACTTTGATTCACTCTCGAAAACAGAGAGATTTTTCTCCTTCGGCCCAAATTGTTGGCCTTCTTCACTTCACTTGCACAGGGCAGTGACAGTGTGGGTCACTGGCTCATCTCATTTCATTAAGCGTGTGGGTGGTCCGGCATAACTCTGACACAGAAAGGTGAGACCGGGCTGAAGGGAGCAGAAAGAATGCACAAGCATCTCAAATGAAGCCTCCATTAGCGAATGAAGCAGAGCAACAACTAGAGCCTTCCAAATGACACCGGCCTGCCTGCCAAGTTTATGCTCACCTCACTGTCCAGCTGAGGGGCGTTAAATACAGAAGGCCACTCAGATTAAACCAGAATTTGTACAATTCCAGATTTATTTTGCTTCTTAACACACATAGTCATGTGATAGTGTCAGATTAAACGTGCAAACAGGTCAAAGGGGCCAAGTATGGGATTGTGCCCCTAGATTAGGTTCTTCAGATTGATTGAAAACCTGTTGTATATAGTTCAATATAGAACCTTTTTGAAAATATAGCACCAAAAAGGGTTCTACTACTGTTATGATGCCAAGCTTGTAACAACAGAAGAACCCTCTTTGGCGCTATATACAACCAGAACAGAACAGAGCTGAGCTGAGCTGACTACACCCTTAAAAAGGGGGTTCTCCAAAGGTTCTTTAGTAAAGGTAATGACTGTACATGGAGCCATGACAACTCAAAGAGCCATGTGAACGTTTGAACGGTTCTTGGCTTCTTATTCACCAAGTTCTGATTCGATTTTTTCCGTTCCACCTTAAATGGTGCGGCAGTTACATTCTACCATAGCATTTAAGGTGGAACGGAAAATTCGAATCAGAAACTGGCGAATAACTTCAGCCTCGTGCTAAATGCTGTCTGTGATGGAGAAACTCTTGTATGTGATTCTTTAAAAATGGAAGAGCAGCAAAAACTTCAAAAAAGTAAAAGAACCTTTTTTTCTAGGAAGGAAAGAGTGTAAATGAAATTTTGCTGATACAAAAGAAAAAAAGCAACATCCGAGCTTCTCTATTTTAAAAACAACCTTCCCATAATTCATTCTGGACGAACAAACTCAAGAGAAAAGTCCGTCGTGAAGCAGGACGTTAAACTTCTTCAGGCGCAGAAAAGCGGCGACGTTTAAGTGCAAATCTGTGTAAAAATGAGAATCTGGTTTTAAAAAAAGCACAAATAAGGATAAAACTGTCAAAACATTTCTAAGCTGTATTAAAAGCACTTTTATTCTGAAATATAACGCACATTCAGTGCTGTCCCTTCTTGTTTAGTTACAAAATAACAAAACAAAACACGTAAACAAATAAAAAGCGCCAAAATAATAAACTGAATAACCAAAAATGCCCAAACAGGGTCAATTTTATGGAAGGTTTTGATCTTATAAATATTATTGGAGCTGTGCTATTTGATTCAAGGCCATGTAAAATGTACAAAATGCACCAAAAATGTTAAGATTTTGGACGTGTATTTAATTCAATCTGCTCTGAAGATCACAGCTTTCAACTACATGTAGACCAGTTTTAGTCCAAACCTGGACTTTCTTTATAATCTGTTACCTCCAATAAAAAATAATACATATAAATTAAATAAAATAAGCTCTGAAACCAAACTTTACAAAAACGTTAAAAAAGTGCTGAAATGCATACAGAATCAAAACAGTGATAAACACTGAAATACAACAAGTTTGAACAAATATAACATTTTCTAAAGATTTGAACGTCCACTTACAATTTTACAGTTTTGTAATTTAAAATTACGACCGCAAACAGAACGCGATTTTTCACTTTTTAAATAATTTAAAAGTGCTGAGTGCAAATTAAATCTGTCTCAGCACTCCGCGAAAAGTTGTTTACCTTTGTATTTTTCCTCTTAGTGTCTATATATTGTTTTATTTATTTATTATAGTTATATATAGTTATATAATCTGAATAGACGCGAAATTTTAGCGTCTTTAAAATTATTGAAGAAAATTGCGCATTCCAAAAAAACCAAGCGAGCTAGGCTCACGAGGTCGAGCCAAGTCACAAACACCAAAACTGTCCAAACTGTGCAGCCTGTATTTTAGCAACGAAGGTAAAAAAATCATATTAAAATAAATAAAAAGCTCAAACTGAAAACTTCTATGAAGATTTTGAATAAAAGAGTAAATTTCTTCCGAACGGCGACGAGTTTATTTCTCTTTTCGCGCGACCAGCATCACCTCACCAGCGAGGAATCTCTCTCTCTTTCTCTCTCTCTCTGTCTCTCTCTCTCTCTCTCTCTCTCTCTCTCCATCTTCACTGCTTATCCTGTCTAAAAGTTTCGCTTTTCAGATTGAACGCTTTCTTTTCTCGCTCTAAGGTCCTTGTTTTAATCCAAACTCCACCCCTCAGTCCGCTTCTAGGAACAAACAAACAAACAAACAAACAAACAACAAACAAACAGCCGCACAGCTGCGTGCACGTGCCCTCCACCCTCCGCTCTCCCGGTTTACCGTGCTCCGGCGCCTCTCCCTCCTCGGCCCGCGCGACGTGCTGCTGAGGCTTGGCCTGTTTGCGCCGGGACATCTCTCTCCGCGCTGCGCGCTCCGCGGTGGGACGAGCGCGAGAGAGCCCTGCGTGCCTGCTTGCGCGCGGCTCTGCTCGGCGGAACACTGCTTGCTGTCTGCGCATGACGGAGGAGGGGGCACGGGTGAGGGCCGACTGAGCGCGCGCACGCGCACGGTCATTGGCTGCTGGCCAGCAGGCTCGCGGGGGAGGAGCGGTGATATGGAAATGAAGCACTGCGTCCCTAATGAGCCCAACGGGCCGCGCGACAGCGGGCACGGGACGTCCGAAGAGCAGCAAGTCAGGTAGTGGACAGCTGAAGAAACACCAGCGAGCTGATGCTTACTGGTGTGTCCTTTTTTTCAATCAAGTTAATGAATTAAGCAATAATAATAATAATAATAATAATAATAATAATAATAATAATAATAAAAGTATTGAAGTATTTTTTATTGAGGAACTAAATAAGAGCGTGCTACATTCAGGCCGTATGACATGCATGTCCCACATTACCATATGCAACATATAATACCTTATATATACTGGTTAGTATGAAATACAGTACTGTGTAAAACCTAAAGGGAGATGTTTCTGAGGAGATTAGATATCAGATACTCCACCTGCATAAGGAAGGTAAGAGTCAAAGGAAAATGACTGAAAAACCAGGAGTTTTCAAAACTGCTTTAAAAATGATGAAAATCTACAGAGAAAATGGGGCTCCTAACAACCACCTGGAAGACCTGGTAGACCCCAAAACTGCCCCCATCAGATAAACAGCACTTAAAGCTTTCATCTGTGAGAGAGAGGAGAAAATCAAGCTGCTTCAGATCTGAAAACATCCACATCCATCCTTCCACTGTGAGAAGACGACTCAGCGCTGTGGGTCTGAAAGGATGTGTAGCTGTCAAGAAGAACCTCACTGAGAAAAGCAGACGGACACATCAAAGAAGCTGAACAATGGACTGACCACCCCAGAGTCCAGACCTCAACATCACTGAAGGTGTTTGATTACTTCAGAAAATGATCAACCAGCTTCTAAGACTGAACTTTGGAGGCGGGTCTGCAGATTCTTTGAGAAACTGAAAGTGAGTCTCCTGAAAAGAATGGAAGCTGTAATACAAGTGAAGAGTGGACTCACTAAATACTGAAACAATGATATTATATTTCAGTCTGAAATGTTGTATATCTGCTGATGTGTAATGCAAAACATATTTTCGTTTCACTCTCAGAAAAAAAGGTAGTAAACTGTTACTGGGGCAGTCCCCCTCTTGTCACTGGGGTCTCAGTACCTTTAGTCAGGGAACATAACTGAACCATAATCCACTGAAATGATATGTTCTAAGCTGTACTGACTCCACACACCCCGTCTCGTCTCCAGGACTTTATTTTACTGTTCTGTTTTAAAACATTCGGTTATGAAAAGGTACAAATACGAACTTTTCACCTGGAAAAACTTATTTAAGGTTCACAATCAGACCTTAAAACCACTGTTGTACCTTTGAGGGAACATTTATACCATTTGTACCTTGATGAATGAAAAATGTACCAGCACAGCACCTTTATTTCTAAAAGTGTTCTCTAAAAAAGGAGATATTCGTCATAATATAACACTGACATTTCTTGTATATGTAAAGCCCACTCTGAGCCACCTATATGATTAAAACAAAAAAGAAAATTCTTGAAGGTGATCAACAATGTGTTTCGAAATGAAACCCTTCATATGTTTCATGCTGATGCTCAAAAATAAATAGCTTCTATTTAATGTCTGTTTTAATAGTAAATGAATTAAATAAAAGGTGCTCACAGACTTTTACACAGTACTGCCTATCGTTGCTGTCCAGTGAAAAACAAGTATCTCCAAAATAATAACTTTACAGGAGAGGGCAAAAACACTCTTACCTTTCAATGGAAGTCAACGTAAAAAGATTTTGTTCCAGGTGATTTTAGTGCATTTCTATTGGTCCATGCATCATGAAATTTTTGCACAATGTAAAGAACAACTAGTGTGTTGAAATTATGTAGAAAACAAAAAATCCACAAAAATGGAGACACATGGTTTTCTTTGGAAGCAACGATATATACAATATATTACCTTTTCTTTTAGACTTATTCCCCAATCCTACACTCTTAATAAAGATGGTTCTTCAAGGGTTCTTTAGTAAAGAAAATGATTCTACTTAGAAACATCAGTTCTACATAGAACCATTTCATGCTTGAATGGTTCTTTGCATGGTGAAATGGTTCTTCCGACTGATGGAGAGTGCGTTCTTTATGGTTCTGTATAGAGCTTTTTTGAAAATGGGTCTATGAAGCACCAAAATGCTTCTTCTATTGTTACAAGCTTGACATCATAACAATAGCAGAACCCTTTTTGGTGCTATATAGAATCATATACAACAGAATGTTGAAGAACCATTTCACTTTAAATAACCATTAAAGCATGAGATGGTTCTAAATAGAACGTTTCTCTTGCTAAAGAACCATTAAAGAATCATCATTATAAGCATGATGATGAAGGTATAATACCTTGGTCCACCCTGCTTTAGTGAACTGCTTTCTTGAAGTGTTCACGTGTTCAAAAGGAGGATAAAAACCATATTTATGATGAGGCTAAAAATTAAAAGGATTATAATAACCGTAGTTTTATATGAAACGTTCCTTTCTAGAGAAACATAACAACGCAGAATTGTTCACAGTTGATGGGAACCAGACATCCTGTAAAAGCTCCCTCACACAAAGTTATTACACAAGAGTCATTGTTTTATGATGGTTTTGGTCTAAAACTTAAAATTTTTAAATATTTTTTAACAAGCATTCATTGTGGAGAGCGATATTCAGGGTGTTGCAAGGCAAAGAAAATGTATTTGTTCAGATTTATCACTATTTTACCATCAACAACATTACATTTAAAACTTGTACAGGTTCTCTGGTGGTTTTGGATAGTAAACGAAATGGCTATATTAGTGTTGTAGTCATGGCGACCCATGGTTCCTATCACCCCCACTATGAAGAAATCTGAATCAGTAAATTTGTCTACAATTAACTATTTCACATCAAACCAGCTCTGAATGACTTTGTTTACATCTCAACCATTTAATTATGCAGAAAAATCATCGGAATTCCCTTTTAAGACGAGAGGCTTTAATTTGTGAGAGCCCAAGAAACTCTTCCTGCAGGACCACCAGCCACTTCTTCATTTTTCACTTATACGATTGTTGTGTCTTGGTATTCAACAGCCTGTAAATCAGTATCAAACCGTTCCCGTTACAACACACTTACAATATGGAAGCCTATCGATCGGCGCCTCCGTTACTCTCCTGGCGTTGGGAGATAAGAGGAGTCTTTGGTGCAATAGAATTCCATTTGACCTATCCGTTATGGCCAAATGATGGATAGCCAGGGGTGACCAAAGGCCTGGCTTATATCACACAACATCCCCAATGATGCACTATTGATTTGCCCTAACTAGCTTCGCTCTCAAAAATCACAAGTGCCTTATTTAAGCCATCGCTTTCATTATTAATCACAACAGAGCTCGAGACGACCTACCTCGACTCCCAGGAGACGTCTCACAGTTCTGTTATCTGCAGAGGTGCTTTTGGAGAAAGAGAAATGCTCTTATGGATAGAGGACCATGCCAAGCTTTCAGAGCTCTATCAAAAGATCTTTTGAAATATAACTAAATTGAATCTGAGAGATATATAACCTATAGTGAAAAGGTCAGCAGAGTCAAATCTGAACGGACCTGAATTGAGGAAATCTGGACTGACATTATAACAGTTGAATGGCCTCTGATCTTATTAAACCATTGTTGTAGAAGATGCAATGTTGATGTAATGAGGAAATCTCAGTATGAACTCCCAACTGACGTATTTGTAGTTTTTTAATACTATGATTTTTTAATACTATGAATTATCCAGTAACTACTAGGAATTATTCAGTATCTACTGTAAATTATTCAGTGTTTACTATCAATTGTTCAGAAACTACTATGAATTATTCACTATCTACCATAAATTATTCAATGCTGTCTATATGTTTTCCAGTAACTGCTATGAATTCTTAGGTAATGGCTATGAATTATTAGTAATTGCTATAAATTATTAAGTATGTCTTATGAATTATCCAGTGACCCTTATTTAGTAATGACTATAAATTATTCAGTAACTACTATGAATTATCCAATAATTACTATGGCTTGTAGTATGAACTCTCAGTATGAACTCCCAGCTGATGTATTTGTAGTTTTTAAACTACTATTATTTTTCAATACTATGAATTATTCAGAAACTACTTTGAATTATTCAGTATCCACTGTAAATGTGTCTGCTATCAATTATTTAGAATTTACTTTAAATTATTCAGATATTGCTATGAATTATTCAGTATCTACTGTAAATTATTCAGTGTCTGCTATCAAATATTCAGTACATACTGTAAATTATTCAGTGTCTACTATCAATTTTTCAGAATATAATCTAAATTATCCAATGTCTACTATCAATTATTCAGTACCTACTGTAAATTATTCAGTGTCTACTATCAATTACCTAAAATCTACTGTAAATTATTTTGGGTCTACTATCAATTATTCAAAATCTACTGTAAGTTGTTAAGTGTATACTATCAATTATTCAGAGTATATTCTAAATTATCCAATATCTATTATTAATTATTTAGATATTTCTATAAATTATTAAGTATCTACTGTAAATTATTCAGTGTCTACTATCAGTTATTTAGTACCTACTGTAAATTATTTAGGGTCTACTATCAATTATTTAAAATCTACTGTAAATTATTCAGTGTCTTCTATCAATTATTTAGAATCTACTTTAAATTATTCAATGACATCTATACATTCTCCAGTAAGTGCTATGAATTCTTCAGTAATGGCTATGAATTATGTTGTAATTACAATAAATTATTAAGTAACCATTATGAATTATCCAGTGACTTTTATTTAGTAATGACTATGAATTACTTAGTACTGAGTATGAATTATTCAGTAACTACTATAA